TATATATATATTATATATATATATATATATATATTATATATACTTGACTGGCAGGAGTCAAGGCTGTCTGTGTGTGTTTCAGACTGCTGAACAGGAAGTGGTCTACCTCTTCGTTCCCACTCCAGCAGTAGGAGCTCTCATCGGGAAGAAAGGGCAGCACATTAGAGAGCTGGCACACTACGCTGGAGCCTCAATAAAAGTGAGCCACTTCTGATTCCCACTGCAGTTCACTCTCTCATTGGGAACATTAACCAGTTTGAAACGAAGCTTGAATGAAAGAATGGTTTGGACCAGATTGTATCCTAAGGCTTGTTATTCAGAAATAAGAAAACCTTGATGTTTTTTACAGTTTTGGGCCAGCTGATGGAACTGCTAGTTTCACCAGTGCTGCATTGTCCCTAAATCTTACATTTGTTGATTTAGATGTGTTTTTGTGCCTTGCAAACTTTTTGAATTCTAAATTATTTATTGTGAATTCTGCTGAATTCTGCTCCAAGGTAAGCTGATTGACAGTTGTGGTTTTGTCTAAATTATAACTTGTGATTAGAAAAAAGTTCTAATGTTAAAAAATCAGTAATATTTTGAATTGTGTTCGTTTTCCAGCAAAAGTGTATTGTAGTATAATGTAGACTTGAGCTGTATACACTGTAAAAAGTGTTGACCTGCAATTGTTACATTAAAGGGCTATTTCTAACTGGCATTAACCTGTAAAATTTAGTTTTACTGGTATATATTGAGGTATATAGGTTGGTTCATTAAAATACTACATTTTTTCTGTCTATTAAGGTATCACTCAGACTTTTAGCAATTTAAGTTGTCTTTTGTATTTAAATCAAGACAGAATGGAAAAAGAAAGTGGTGTTTTTTGTCACTGCAGATTGCTGCACCAGACAATCCTGATGATCCTGAGAGGATGGTCATCATCACTGGACCACCAGAGGCTCAATTCAAGGTAAAAGCCATAATTCAGTCATTTAGGCTCCGGATCTTCAGGGGACGGATTCCATTAGGCAGGACCCAGGGTGTTTTTTTCCATCGATCTCTGTATTCACCCCTCATTTCTCCTTTACTCATTTCTGTATGTGTGTGTGTGTCTGTAGGCACAGGGGAGAATATATGGGAAGTTGAAAGAGGAGAATTTTTTCACAGCTAAGGAAGATGTGAAGTTGGAGGCACATATAAAAGTGCCTCTGACCGCCGCTGGACGAGTCATCGGGAAGGGTGGCAAAACGGTATGTGTGCTTGCTTTGTGTACATGTGATTGGATCACCAAAGAGAGATGTTAAAACCATGTGTAAACACACAAGTCAAGTGAGACAGATTGTTTTTTACACCTGGTAGTAACATGTCCCTTGAGATCAGATTTTCAAGGAACTATAACTGAATGTTACTTGAAACTGAAAGTGCAGAAAAGTAAAAATAAGCACACAAAGTCAGTAAAGTTCCTTCTTGGTGGAAGAAAGTTTCTTATTCTGGTCTCCCAGACCAAGTGTCAGTCTCTCTGGCTGCATTTACACTGCAAGTCTTAATGCACAGATTCGATCTCTTGACCATATCCGATTTTTTTTTTGGCCCGCCTGTTTACATTCACTTTATACAAGACTGGTATCTGTATCTGTGTTTAAATTAATTCCCGCCCAAAAGGATTGTCTACAGTTATCGCTTTACTATGCACATGGTAGACCTTCGGGTTTGAATGGCCGTGCTATTAAAATTTATATAATTCATGTCGAGTGGCTGTCATGAATGTTTTGCAGCACAAAATCTGACTGAATGGATAAATAACGGAAAATAGCAGTAATTTTCATTTGTTAGGCTATATTTTATCTACAGTTTGTTAGAGGTAGAATTCTTTAGTGAAGTAAAGTAGCACCAAGATGATATTTATTGTAATGAATTTGAATGAATTGAGAGAGAGAGAAAACGCGCGAGTGAGTGTGAAGCTTGCGAACAAGTGAAGCTTGTTGGTTTAATTACAAAAACTGCAAAGTTATCAAAGTTATCACCTCATTGCTGAGAAATATAATGTAGCTTTTAGCTGTTGTATTTATAAAATTCACGGGGCAGGGGTTGAAAACCAGCTCCTGAATGTACAATTTCTTATCTATATAAAGTTTCCATATCAATAAATGTGAGCGCATACTAGAGGTCGACCGATATGGGTTTTTCTCTGGCCGATGCCGATATTTAGAAATCAGGGGAGCCGATGGCCGATATATGATGCCGATTTTTTTGCCCGATATGTTTGGCCGATTTTCTTTTTCCCAAAGAGTCCCATTCATCTCATAAAAGTGAGTTTGAGCAAATGACCCCGGCCCCCACACCAGTGTTTCCCACAGACTGCAAATTAATTCTCTGCCAGCAGGGGGCATTTTGGGAGCTGGAGATATAGCGGTTTCCCCGGTTAACGGCTGTAATCAAATAAGCGCTGCTCCCAAAGGCTAGCAAGACGAAATGAAAATGACATCGAAGCTTTTCTGAAGACAGTCGGTTCTTTTCAAAGATACATTCATATAAAAACACCCGCGCTGCATTTTAATTTTGAAACATGAAGCGCTCATTTTATTCAACGCCTAGTATAAGCCTTTTGGAAAATCTATTTGTGGCGGTCAGTTTTGATATTGTGATGAGCCGCCACAAATACACTGGACACTGCTATAAGTCAATTGGCCATAGTGATAACAAAAATAAAAGAGATCACACATATTACACTGCCTGCTGCTCATAACTGCTTAAGAGTGCGCTGGCCACGAGCGAATATATAACATCGTGGAGGATATTGTCGGACCCACAGGCTGCAGCCTGCAGAGCGTGAGCTGCTCCGTCTCACGCAGCCAGAGGGAGTTCCGCAACAACGCTTAGTTGCCCGCCAGTGCACCTGCCTATAAATCGATCAATCGGTCGACCTCTAGTGCATACAGCACACCGGCATTAAAACACCATCTTTATGGGCAAACGTGTCGCTCTCGCATTGGGAGTTCTGCGTGGAATCGGATATGTGTGTTTAGACGTAGGTCGTATGTCCAGATATTGCATATGTATCTGATTTAAAAACACATTTGTAAGTGGCTCAGATTGGATGTGAAAAAATCAGATTTTTGTGCAACAAATTCCGATCTGTGTCAAAAAAATCTGATTTCTAGTGCCAGTGTAAATGCAGCCACAGTCCTCTCAGCTACTGTGGTTGACAAGTGGATGATGAACCCAAGTGTAGAAAAGGATGGATGACAAGACAATCTTGAATAAGTGTCTCTCCAAAAAATCTTTACTAATTTGTCTTTTTGTAAATACAACAAAATATTCCATTAAAATATATTTCAAAAGAACTGAAGATGGTTCAAACAAACAATATTCCCTTCATACAAAAAACGAGCCTCAAAAGTAACAAAGAGTCCCAGTAAGCAACAACATAAAATATAGCAAAAGGTAACAGAGAAAAAAGTCTAACCAGGAACAGGCAAAAAGAAACTATAGCCCTATTCGGACAGCAATTGTTTATCATGTGGGCGTCTGTAAAAATGAATTTACCTGGCACTTCAATAATAAAACTCATGGGTTCGAATGGCAATTTATTCATGGTGGAGGAGAGAGTTCTGTGATCCTATGAACCCGGGATTCTATTGAATTCTTGTTGCTACCATAATAATGACCAGTTTCAAATGTTTACGTGCTCTTCTTTTTGTTCTTAACAGCTCCCTCTTGCTGTGGTGGAGCAGTTATGAAATATTGTTCTTGTAAATACTTTCCAGCATTTCAGTATTAAATAAGCATGCAAATGTAAATGGTCACTGTGCGGTGTTCGGCAGTGGTCAAAAGATTTAAACTGTGAATTAACTTCTCTTGAAAACCACGCAGAGAGGGCTCAAGACTGAACAAAGGCAAAAGAGTGAGACAGAGCTTAAATAAGGCCAAAAACAGGTGAACACAAATCTTTCTGATTAATGACAGATCTCAGGCCTCTCTGGGAACATAACATCATCTGCTGGAAAGGAAGAGTTCATGCGTATAGGTTACACTCTTACATCCAAATTTTAATCTCACCACAAACGGGTTAAACAAAAAGAGCCATTTTAGTCAGGTTCTTTCATGGACTAAATTTAATTAGTAAATCTCAGTAATAGGTTGCTGGGCAGCATCATGTAACATCAGGTGTTGTTGGCAACAGCTAGGAAACATGGAGCACTGCTCACTTGTGATTGCAGTGTTAATTCCAGGTCTAAATGGGATTAGTGTGTGTGACCTCTGACCTCTTACACCCACAGGTCAATGAGCTGCAGAATCTTACCAGTGCTGAGGTCATTGTACCACGGGACCAGACCCCAGATGAAAATGATGAAGTGTTTGTTAAGATAATTGGACATTTCTTTGCCAGTCAGGTATGTGATATGTGAATGACATTCTCTTAGACCTTAAACTGTTTGTTTTATTTGAATTTGCCTAAAACACCAGAGTCAAACTAAAGCCCCGTTCACACTAGCAGCGACCTTTGACACTGCATGTCGCCAGGGGCTGGCGATGAGATTGTTAGTGGGCGTTCTCAATACTGGTTGCCTTGACAGCGAATCAGGTTTCTTGCTCTAAGTACAAACATTTTGGAGGCAAAAGACTAAATATAATCTAAATCTAAATTAAATCCGTACATACAAACAAAAATGAATGAGAAACAGAGCCTACTTTCTTCCATTACGTATGTTTATCTACGGAGCTGAGAGGAGAACGATCACATGAGCTCTACCGTCTTCTTTCCTATTGGCTGTCGCTCCCGAAAGTCGCTCTTCATTTGCATAAAGAGCATGCATGGAAATCGCCAGCTCTACATTGAAATTAATGGGATTGTGTCGCTTTGCTGTTGCGTGTCGCTTGTAGTGTGAACGGGGCTTAAGTCACCACTGCAAAAAGTGGTAACCTGCAATTGTTATAGTTGTTACCTGCAGTTGTCATTTAGAAAGAACATTTCTACCTTTTTTTAAAGGTGGGGTAAGCAATTTCTGGTAGCCAATGTTGACATTTGAAATCACCAAAACAAACACGCCCCTACCCTAAAAGGGTCTCGCCCCTATTTTGATAGCTCCGCCCCACAGTACAAACATTTTGGAGGCAAAAGACTAAATATAATCTAAATCTAAATTAAATCCGTACATACAAACAAAAATGAATGAGAAACAGAGCCTACTTTCTTCCATTACGTATGTTTATCTACGGAGCTGAGAGGAGAACGATCACATGAGCTCTACCGTCTTCTTTCCTATTGGCTGTCGCTCCCGAAAGTCGCTCTTCATTTGCATAAAGAGCATGCATGGAAATCGCCAGCTCTACATTGAAATTAATGGGATTGTGTCGCTTTGCTGTTGCGTGTCGCTTGTAGTGTGAACGGGGCTTAAGTCACCACTGCAAAAAGTGGTAACCTGCAATTGTTATAGTTGTTACCTGCAGTTGTCATTTAGAAAGAACATTTCTACCTTTTTTTAAAGGTGGGTCTCTCCTCCACATCATGAGTAGACACGCCCCTTACTGCTGATTGGCTACAAGTTTGTTTTGCTACTCGGCCTGAATCAGTTTTCTAAAGCGTTTTTGAAAAATCACTTACCCCACCTTTAACCCCTATAAAGTAGTTTTGATGTCATCATTTAGTCACCCTCATGTCATTCCAAACCCAAACCCCATGTCATTCCAAAATAAGACTTTCATTGATCTTCAAAACACAAATTAAGATATTTTTCACATTCTCTCGTTTTTGTCCATCCATTGAAAATCCACGCAACCAAATTTAGGTTTTAAGAAGTTCATAAAGACATTATAAACGTAATCCATATGAATCAAGCCATTTAATCCAAGTCTTCTCAAGAGATTTGATTGATCTAACTGTGACCATGGACCACAAAACCAGTCAGTCATAAGGGTCAATTTTTTAAAATTGAGATTTATACATAATCTGAAATTTGATTAAATAAGCATTCCATTGATGTATGGTTTGTTATGATAGGACAATATTTGGCCGAGATACAACTATTTGAAAATCTGGAATCTGAGGGTGCAAAAAAATCTAAATATTGAGAAAAACGCCTTTAAAGTTGTCCAAAGGAAGTCCTTAGCAACGCATATTACTAATGATAATACATTTTTGATATATTTACGGTAGGAAATTTACAAAATATTACATTAATATCCTAATGATTTTTTCACATGAGCTCTACCGTCTTCTTTCCTATTGGCTGTCGCTCCCGAAAGTCGTTCTTCATTTGCATAAAGAGCATGCATGGAAATCGCCAGCTCTACATTGAAAAAGTACTGGTTTAAAGTTGTCCAAAGGAAGTCCTTAACAACGCATATTACTAATGATAATACATTTTTGATATATTTACGGTAGGAAATTTACAAAATATTACATTAATATCCTAATGATTTTTGGCATAAAAGAAAAATCGATAATTTTGACCTGTACAATGCATTTTTGGCTATTGCTACAAATATACCCGTGCTACTTATGACTGGTTTTGTGGTCCAGGGTCACAATTTAGTCTTTTATTGAAATATAAACATTGATCAGCATGCATACATGGAGCCCATCATATGTGGTACACAGAAGCTAAACGTGCTTTCTTGATGCACAAGAACCATTTGGTGTGCCTTATTTATTTGCACATTGATGATCACTGTAAGATTAGTTCAGTGTGGTGGAAATCGGCTTTCTTTACAACTGCTATTGGTTGTACTGCTCACTTTGTTGAACTTTTGTGACCGATAGTTCCTAAGTTCACCTAGAACCACCTGAGTACAAATATTCAGGTATATATCAATATATCAGTACATTATCATTCATATGAATTATTTTACACTATTGGCAGGTCCTGGATGGTCACAAAGCAACTTCAACATTACAGAATTATTATTCATGAGATTTGTCCTTTGTCATAAGGTTTCATAAATGTTTTTTTTTTTTCAATCTTGGTATCAGCCTGTTACTAAAGTACTGGTACTTTTGAATTTCATGTTTTAGACAATTTATTTGCATAAACTTCTAGACTGAGACAGGTGTGCTGTGAAAGTAAGACACTTTGAGACACTTCTGATTCCCACTGCAGTTCACTCGCTCATTGTGAACATTAACCAGTTTTGGATGAGGCTTGAATGAAAGAATGGCTTGGACTAGACTGTGTCCTAAGGCTTGTTATTCGGGCCTACATATGATTCGTTCAGCTTCTTAAAACATTAGCTGTTGATATAAATGATATATTTGCATGTGCACTACAGTCACCTTTGGATACGGTGTGCTTGTTTGCAGACGGCCCAGCGCAAGATCAGGGAGATAATTCAACAGGTCAAACAGCAAGAGCGGAAACACCAACAAATGGTGCCAACACCCTCACAACCATCAATATGATCAGCAGATGCCAGCAAGCAGCAGCTAATGAATGTAGCTCATGCGAGGACAAATCGAAATTCAAGAACGAATTCAAGAAATTGACAAAGGGAGAGTGAGACAGAGCGGGAAACAGAGAGAGACAGAAGCTGATGAAGAGGACCAGCAGTTTAAAACAACCAAAGAACTTATAGCACAAAAAACATTTGGTCATGTGGATATGAATGAAGATGTTCGAGTTTGTTACCAGGTCAGAGATCTTTTTTATAAAGACGGACCTGATATTTCATATTGAGCTCTTTTTATTATTGATTAAGCTGATGTGAACGTATATAGAGGATTTGTGCACTGTGAAGTAGACTGCTGGATGAGGTGAATGCACACTGCAGGTAGATTTCATAGGGACTTGCAGGTCTAGTTGTGCACTAGATCTACTAATTTATTAAGAGCAAATGTTAATAAGATTCTAAAAACAATTATATAGGTTTATTCAACTGAATGTTCTTTGGAAACTCATTTCAGGCTATTTAATGTGAGTAATCAGATTTGTTTGTTGATCTTCTCTAGTAACTAAAATCATTAAGTGATCTCACCAAGGAATGTACATAATGTAAAAGACTGCTAGCTGTGAGCCAGCATTTCACTTCCAGTTCCTCTTTACCACTGCTGAGTCTGAGCGTTTCTCCTCTGCTTGCTGCCCTGTTCTCTTTTCTCTCTTTTTAAAAAAAAATATTTATTTTTGTTTCCTTGTTCCCGACTTATTCATCACACAAAATAAGAGCTGTCTGTGTGCCAACTGTAAAGAAAAAAAAAAGTACAGTCTCTAAACAGAGGTAGATCTAGATCATCTTACTTTGGCAATCTACTGTTGATATCCTGTACTGTCCACGAATGATATTACACGCTCTTAATATTACCTTACACTACCATTCAAAAAGTTACTACTTTTCTGATCAAAAGTGACTAATGACATTTCTAATATTGCAAAAGATTTCTATTTCAAATAAAAAAAAAACTTTTCTATTCATCAAAGAATCCTGAAACAAGTATCATGGTTTCCACAAAAAATATGAAGCAGCACAACTGATTTCAACATTGATAATAATACGTTTCTTGAGCAGTAAATCAGCTGCACAAATAAATGCAACTTTTTGATCAATTAAATGCAGCCTTGGTGAAAAATACTTCTTTCAAAAACATGAATCAATCTTACCAACCCCGAACTTTTGAATGGTAGTGTACGCACTTGAAAAAGCTGAATTTCTTGTGCAATCTGCACCTGGTCTGTAGGTCCTGTAACAGGAGCACATGGGAGTCCTTTTAGGTCTTCCTGACTCTAATGAATGTATATGATGCAAATGCCTTCTGCAAACATGTACTTTCTGTGTTGCAAACATTCTCTTTTTCCCCTCTGATTTCATGTGCTGAGATGAGTGCATATCTTCTCCTGCAAGTGCGTGTTTGCGGTAGGGAATGTATGCATAGTCAGAGACAACATAAATATCTATAAAAGCATTTTTGACAAAAGAGTCAAGCAAAGTCAAGACAAAGTGTTTTTTTTTTTTGCAAAAAGATTTCCCATTTTTCCGTAATATATAAAGGTGATGTGATTGGTGAAGGATAACATCATTAGCCTTTCGGATGTGCATCATTAAAGGCTTAATGGAATTTTTTTTTTTATTATGTACTGTATATAGGTGACATGCACAAAGTACAGTTAATAAAATATTGGTTTCAGTATTTCTTGACTGATCAAATGCAAACAGCCAGTCATAGAGCGTAACATTGATATTAAGCAACTGATGCAACCATGATTGAGACATGAAAATGATATATTGAAAGTCCATGCAGCTTTGTGTGAAGCAGTACAATATAACATTCTACCTCAAGAACAGGGTACCTCAGTCTGAATTTGTATACCTTATAAAGCTCTCAAACTTAGAGCATTTTTTATTTTTTTAAATAAAAGCACACGAAGAGAAAAAAAGGTTTAGTGCAAGGCACCAACACGGCTTGCTTGCTCTTGCGAAAGGTTTCAGGACCCTGCATCAGAAACTGATTGTTGCTTTATGGACCGTTTGACTTAAATGAGCTCTTGACGTCAATACAACTCTTGGGCAACTGAACATTTGTGTTGACAGTACTTTGTTTCTTGCAGTTTATGTTTGTACTGAAATAATCGTCTTGACAGATACATAGCGTCTAAGAATACAGCTTAATCCAACCATATGCAGTGTTCTTCAACCTGTATAGGGACATTTAAAAGACATTATCTTTGTTACTCTGTTACAAATGGCTTGGTAACATATCAGATGAGATGGTCAGTTTTTAATTTTATTCTAACCGTGTTTGTGTGAGGTTTTAGTATAGGAATAATCGACAGTTTACTGCTGAATATTAGCATAATGATATTAGGCACGTTTGAATTTAATCTTTTCAATTTGGGAATCTGTAGCAAGTTTTTGCTGTGTCAAATGGGAGGGATGTCCAGCTGTCTCAAGACCATCTCTTCTCATATCATTTACAAAGACGACATGTACATGAAACCTGATTTTTGGCGTATTCTGTTGCTGTCTCCATTTCTCTTCACATTCTACCATGTTCAAAATGTCTTTATTGACCACTTGTACCGTGAATACTTCTGGGTGTTTGATAAGCCTGTCCCTTTAATCCTTATTTGAGATGAGCTTCTGATATTAACTTAAAGTATGTAAAGTATGGGCTCTAGACAAGTGTGGGTGAGTTTGGGGACAATAGGAGTGTGAGAGAACAATCATGAATACACATCTGTTTTTATGTTTTCTGGGAGGGTCTCACTACTTTTCACATGGATATGAGCAATAAAGAGTTTAAAACAATGTTTTTTTCCCTTCATCTTTATATCAATACAGCAAGCTTTATATCAATACATCAAGTTTACTTGTGTCAGCAATAGCTTAAAGATTCTGTGGAAGCTTGTTTCCGCCACAGGATTAAAAAAAAATCTAAAAAGGTAATTGATCATTTTTATCTCATAATTCAGACCTTCCCCCCGCAATTCTGAGTTTATATCTCACAAATATGGCTCGTTTTTCTTGAAATTGTGAAGAAAAACGTGAAGAAACTCAATTTTAAGTCTGAAATATCAAGCGTAGCGTTAGTTCTGGCAGGTCACGTTAGTCACGCTCGCATCAGCTGATCCCCATCAACCTATAGGAATACGACACCTATCTAAGCATTCATGTATAAGGTCCCTCAGTATTATCAGCAGTTTTCACATTGCTCAATAGCTAATTACCCTCCTCCATCCCCAGCTCCTCCTCTGTCAGTCGGGATTCAGCCTTCTGATTATCCTTTGAATCAGACTAATTCTAAAATGTGTACATAAAATTATTGAACGATATCTGCAATTCATTTATGTTGGTTCTGGGGGGGGTATTGCTGCTCTGCGCATCTCTGCATGGATGTGCAGGGAGTTCTTGCCCAGAACAGAACCATACCGCCAATCCAAACTGTATGCTAATTGTCAATCATCTTTGACCATCAATCATGGTCCTGACAGAACTACATTTATCTCACAGTTCTGATTTTTTTTTCTTGCAATTGCAAGTTTGTATCTCACAATTCTAGTTTATCAGAATTGCAAGTTTATGCAATGACTTTTTATCTCAAGCAATGTCTGAATTGTGAGATAAAAAGTCGCAGTTACCTTTATTTTTGTTATCTCATGGCAGAAATGGGCTTCCATTAGATTCTGAATGCTAAAGTGAAACCTTGATGTCTGTTGGAATATATGATTACATAATATTATATAATATTGCAATATTCTTATCCTACAGTTATACAACTTATTAACGTGTTTTTACCTGTAAGTAGCTCAGCATTGATTATGCACCTGTAGAACTCTGTAGAAATAGTTTGGCTAATGCTTCCAGCTGCCAATATAGTATAATTATCTCTCTCATTTCAGCAATTTTACCATGTATAAATCCATTCCACATAATTTAGCAGTCTGTGGCTGCATATACTGTAAGTTACAATAAGATGTTAAATTGTTTCAAATGTTTTTATTATTGAATGAACATTTTTTTCAACCTTTTGAAGAACTTCTTAATTGTGAACAGCAGTTAAAACTTGGTTATAACAGAATTATAAATTCCAAGTGCTCAAACAACAGTTTTCAATGCAAAAACTAAACCTTAATCTGTACACAACAACATCTGTACACATTAAGACGTTGATTTATTTTTCCATATGTGACTCAAAACAGGAGAGCTTCTGTAATGCAGTAATTATTCAAGTAGCACCTATAGATGCAATTCATGAAATTGCATATTGCAATGGAAATTAATTTTGTTTTTAAAGGATACATATCATATTCACCATAGAAACAGCACTAGAATGTAGTCCAAAACAGGTCATTAGTAGTGTTTTGTAGCTAGAGATGAATGCACATGTGCACATATAACAAAATTGTATATGTTTGACAAGGTCAGTTATCAATCCCTGAATGTACTGTGCAAGTCCAGAAGATTTAACCCATCATATAAATTATCAGTGCACAAGGCTATATTTAAAGCATAACACTAACTTGCAAATAAAAAGACATCCTGACAGTAGGATGCTTGAGGATAATGAATATAATATCTATTTTATTTATTTTTTTAAATCACTTTAAAATATTTAAAAGGCTTTTTAAAGCCTGGACTCAGTGGTATCCACCTTATTTTTCAGCGCAGAAGTAAGCCTTTTTTTTGTGAATTTGCCAAACTTCTGATTCATTAGCTGGTATAGGAAATAACAAGAAGAATAACTAGTGCCATAGAAGTGCAGTAATTGAAAAACTATTTGTGCTACAAACCAGTGTTTATAATTATTGCAATCTGTTGACATAATATTACAAGAATGACACGGAAAGCACATTCAAGTTACAAATGGCTGCATTCGCTGTTAAGTTTAAAAAATAAGGTTGGATACAGTATAAGTAAAACTGGAATACTATTTAAAAAAAAAATGTTTGTATGTAATACATTTTATTAAATCTGCAATTGTTACTTTAAAGAGCTATTTACATGATTTAATCCATAAAAAATTCGTTTTGTAATAATGTATTTAGGTTAATTGAGTGATATTAAATAATATTTTTTAATGAATAAAGCCAGTTAATTTAAATGTTTCCATTTTTAGATTACCATTTTATCAGTGTACATTTAGGGGGAAAGTAACTAATCATTAGTTCTATTTTAGTAAGATGTGTAAGCATACTCAAAAACACATAAAACGTACAGTTATTTACAGTTTCTTCAAATAAATAAAGCCATAAACACACATAAAGCTACACACAAACATGGTCACTAAACAGTATCTGACAACATAAGTATTTAAATATTTTTTGCTTCAATAAAACTCAAAAGCTAGGCTGTCAGATTCCCTTTTTTCCTATAAAACGAGGCAATGTCCAGTGGGTATAGAAAATAATCACTTTCTTTAAAATAATCACATTTTGTTGCTTTGCAGCCTGAAATGAAGACGGACACAGTTTTTGTTTTATCCAGCTGTATTTACTCTTATATACAACTTATAACATCCAAGTGAAAGACAGCTGGATAAAACAAAAAGTGTCTGTCCATGTTCAATTCAGGCTGCAAAGCAACAAAATGTGATTATTTTAAAGGGGGTGATTCTTTTCTATACCCACTGTATGTAACATGTCAGCAATCTAAGTGTGTTCTCTTTTAAGACATTAATAGTCTCTTCTTTTGTGCTTTATCATCATTATAGACATTCAATAATTGTATTTCTGTCCATGTCAGTTTCACTCTGCATTCAGACATTCATAAGCAAATCCTCAACTGTGACTCCAGACCAATGATCAGTCCCATATTAACAGACTGCAGTCTCCTCTTCTGTCTGTCTTTGTGTCATCTAGTCTTGCGATCATTCAGGACCTTTTGGTGTCCATTGGCCTCCAGGCCATCAAGTTTGAGGTGGGCCTGGCTGCAGCGGCGGATCAGAGCTCCGGGAAGTAGAGACACACAGGCGATCAACAGGAGCTGCAGCAGGGTGCCCCACGAAAAGATGTCATCCAAAGAGTGGATCTCAGACAAGATGGCACCCGTACGGACACAGATAAATTCAGAATTGTTCATCAGCTGGAAAAAAAAATCATTAAAATAGTTCTATATCTTTACTCTGTGTTGTTATTATTTTAAAAACTGTATCTTTATTATTATTATTATAGTTATCCTTCTTGGTGTGAACAGGCATTATAGGATACAATTTTTCAGTTTACACATTCCCTTGGAATCAAACCCATAACCTTGGCATTGCTAGCACTGTATGCTACTGTTTAGGCTATAGTACATGTAGATTATAAACAAACAAAATGCAAAGTCATAAATACAGTCACTGACTACATTCATAGAACATTCATTAACATAAATCCCTCTATCATGTTCTCATGATACCTAGAGGCAACTCACCATTCTCTGTAGCATCGCCACCTTCTCAGGGAAGAGCCTGACGATGTGGCGTTTGCCAAATGTACGGGACAGCAGGTAGCAGTTGGTGGAACCCACTGTAGTCAAAGTGCAGGCGATGAGGAGTCCATGCCACGGCCCAAACAACGCCCCCGCCAGCATGTTCTAGACATGACAGGAAAGATTGACAGTGAAAGTTGTTTTATTAGGTCATCAGCTACATAGTCAATAGGGGTGTAACGGTACACAAATATGACAGTTCGGTACGTACCTCGGTTTTAACGTCACGGTTCGGTATGATTTCGGTACAGCAGGGGGAAAAACTAAACTTTTTTTTTTTTTTAATGGTTTACTGAACAAGTTGCTCTTTAAATACATTCAGTTATCAAATTTTCTTAGTGATAAAAATCTACCTCAGCTTATGCTTAAAACTGGGAGCCCTTTTGCATTATAAAGGTTACAATTAGGCCTAACAACTTAACCCAAACTTAAATTTAATTGCTATTTATTTTTAAATAGATGATCAACACTCAACTTAAAAATAATAATAATAAATAAAAAATAAAAAATTGTATGCAAACATGTAAATTGCACATAATGCCGTTTTTAAATTAACTTAGAAATAATACAAATTCTAAGCTATTTGTAAAAATATATATTCAATTACACAATGGCTGTCATAGCATGTTTCATAACAGATTAATTTAAACATACTGTACATTAAGTAATTAAGACTAACAGGTTTAGTAAAATAT